CTCGAACTCCTGACCTCGTGATCTGCCCGCCTCCGTCTCCCAAAGTGCTGGGATTACAGGTGTAAGCCACCATGCCCAAATTAACTTTTATTTATTTTAATCATTTATTTATTTATTTATTATTATTATTATTATTATTTATTTTTTTTTGTTTAGACAGAGTCTCACTCTGTGGCCCAGGCTTGAGTGCAGTGGGGTGATCTCAGCTCACTGCAACCTCTGCCTCCTGGGTTCAAGCGATACTCCTGCCTCAGCCTCCTGAGTAGCTGAGATTACAGGTGCGTGCCACTACACCCTGCTAATTTTTGTATTTTTAGTAGTGACAGGGTTTCACCATGTTGGTCAGGTTGGTCTTGAACTCCTGACATTGTGATCTGCCCGCCTCAGCCTCCCAAAGTGCTGGGATTACAGGGATGAGCCACCGTGCCCGGCCGGTCATTTATATTTTTGAGACCAGGTCTCACTCTGTCACCCAGGCTGGAGGGCAGTGATGCAACCATGGCTCACTATAGCATCGACCTCCTGGGTTCAAGCGATTCTTGTGCCTCAGCCTCCTGATTTATTTTAATTATTTATATTTTGGACTGGGTCTTACTCTGTCACCCAGACTGGAGTGCAGTGGCACAATCACAGCTCACTGCAGCCTTGACCTCTTGGGCTCAAGCAATTTTCCCTCCTCAGCCTCTCAAGTAGCTGTGACTACAGGTGCATGCCACCATACCTGGCTAATTTTATAGAGATGGGGTCTCACTATGTTGCCCAGGCTGGTCTAAAAATTCTGAGCTCAAGTGATCCACCCACCTCGGGCTCCCAAAGTGTTGGGATTACAGGCATGAGCCACTGCGCCCAGCAGTTCTGTGAGTTTGACAAAGCATATAGTCACTACAATAATCAAGATACAGAATAGTTCCATTGGTCACCTCTAAAAAAATTTCTCTGCAACTCACCAACCACAGACCAGGTTTTTTTGTCCCTATAGTTTTGCCTTTCCCAGAATACCATATAACTTGAATCATATAGTATGTAGTCTTCTGGGTCTGGCTGTGGTTTCCTTCACTTAGCAAATGCTTCTGAGATTCATCCATGTTGTTGCCATTAGTAGTCTGTCCCTTTTTATCAATGAGTAGTATCTTACTGTATGGACATACCATATATTGTTTATACACTTACCAGCTGAAGATCATGTGAGTTATCTCCTGTTTTTAGAGATCATGAATAAAGCCACTGAGCAGGAGATTTAAGGGTGGGGAATTCGTCTCTTTTCTGAAAGGTCTCCAGCACGTATCTTTTTTTTTTTTTTCCTTTTTGAGAAAGGATGTTGCCCAGGTTGGAGTGCAGTGGTGCAATCATGGCTCACTACAGCCTCAACCTTCCACACTCAAGTGATCCTCCTGCCTCAACCTCCCTACTAGCTGGGACTACAAGTGCATGCTACCATGAGGGGCTAATTTTTTTTTTTTTTTTTTAAGACAGAGTCTCGCTCTGTCGCCCAGGCTGGAGTGCAGTGGCTGGATCTCAGCTCACTGCAAGCTCCGCCTCCCGCATTTATACCATTCTGCCTCAGCCTCCCGAGTAGCTGGGACTACAGGCGCCCGCCACCTCGCCCGGCTAGTTTTTTGTATTTTTTAGTAGAGACAGAGTTTCACCGTGTTAGCCAGGATGGTCTCGATCTCCTGACCTTGTGATCCGCCCGTCTTGGCCTCCCAAAGTGCTGAGATTACAGGCTTGAGCCACCGCGCCCAGCCTTTTTTACGTTTTTAGTAGATATGGGGTCTGTGTTGCCCAGGATGGTCTCAAACTCCTGGGCTCAAGTGATCCTCCCACGCCAGCCTCCCACATTGTTGGGATTATAGGCGTGAGCCACTGCATCCAGCCCTTCATCACATATCTAATCTCACAACAGTCATCAGAGGTAGGTAACAGGTTTTATTGTTATTATCTCCATTTAACAGATGAAAAACACTGAACCAAATAGAAGTGAAAAATTGGGCTTTTAAAATGGATTTTCGACTGGACGTGGTGGCTCACAGCTGTAATCCCAACACTTCACGAGGCCAAAGCAGACGGATCACCTGAGGTCAGGAGTTCGAGACCAGCCTGACCAACATGGAGAAACCCTGTCTCTACTAAAAATACAAAAATTAGTTGGGTGTGGTGGTGCATGCCTGTAATCCCAGCTACTTAGGAGGCTGAGGCAGGAGAATCACTTGAAACCAGGAGGCGGAGGTTGCGGTGAGCTGAGATTGCACCATTGCACTCCAGCCAGGGCAACAAGAGCAAAACTCATCTCTAAATAAATAAATAAAATAAAATAAAATGGATTTTCAAGGCCAGGCATGGTGGGTCACACCTATAATCCCAGCACTTTGGGAGGCCAAGGCAGAAGGATCACTTGAGCCCGGGAGTTCGAGACCAGCCTGGGCAACAGGGCAAAACCCTGTCTCTACCAAAAACACAAAACAAAATAAGCTGGGTGTGGTAGGGCGCGCCTGTAGTCCCAGCTACTCAGGAGGCTGAGATGGGAGGATGGTTTGAGTCCGGGATGCAGAGGCTGCAGTGAGCTGAGATCATACCACTGAACTTCAGCCTGGGTGACAGAGCCAGACCCTGTCTCAAAAAAATAATAATGATAACAATAATAATAAAATGAATTTTCATATACTTTGGTATGGTTTAGTAAGTTTCAGCAGGCAGATTGTCAGGGTAAGATGGATTGTTATATATATATACATTTTTATATATAACAATATGTACAAATTTATATACTTATTTACTTATTTTTACTTATTCATTTATTTTAGCAGAGATAGAGGTCTCCCTATGTTGCCAGGCTGGTCTCAAACTCCTGAGCTCAAGCAATCCTCTCACCTTGGCCTCCCAAAGTGCTCACATTGCAGGTGTGAGCCACCACACCTAGCCTATAAGGGGAATTTAAAGGACTGTCTACTATGATGTCCCTTCTCCCAATCCCTTTCCCCATGTAGAAGAGGGTTCTGTTGAGTGACTGGCATTTGCTTATATTTCTCAGTGCTATGTCCAGTGTAATGGAAAATGCACTGGCTCAAGAGCCCAGGGATTTGAGTTCCAGGCCAAGCTCATCTACTAACTGAGTCAGTCAAACCTCTTTGGATTTCAGGTTCTTCATCTGAATAACGTATATAACACTTATCCCATAGTACACTGCAAAGATGACATGTGACAGTGAACAAGTTAGTATTCCTTTAGATATTAAGAATGAGGCCAGGTGCAGTGGCTCATACCTGTAATCCCAGCACTCTGGGAGGCTGAGGTGGGGAGATCAGTTGAGGTCAGGAGCTCGAGACCAGCCTGGCCAACATAGTGAAACCCCATCTCTACTAAAAAAATACCAAAAAAAAAATTAGCTGGGTGTGGTGGTGAACACCTGTAATTCCAGCTACTTGGAAATTGCGGAGGCAGAGGCAGGAGGCAGAATTGCTTGAACCCAGGAGGCGGAGGTTGCAGTGAGAGACATCACGCCATTGCACTCCAGTGCCTGCGAGACAGAGTGAGTAAGTCTCCAAAAAAAGAAAGAAAGAAAGAAAGAAAAAATAATGAGATTAGAGAGGGCCTTCATTCCTCCTGGAAGAACACCTCATGTACCTGAAATCTTTGTTGGTGACAGGAAATATGTCAAGGGTAAAGGGTTTCACTGTCGCCTCCTGCACAGGGCCTTCACCATCTTTGCTGTCTGGAGAGGAGGCAGGAGAATTGCTTGAACCCAGGAGGCGGAGGTTGCAGTGAGCGAGATCGCGCCATTGCACTCCAGCGCCTGAGTGACAGAGTGAGTAAGTCTCAAAAAAAAAAAGAAAGAAAAAATAATGAGATTAGAGAGGGCCTTCATTCCTCCTGCAAGAACACCTGACGTACCTGAAATCTTTGTTGGTGACAGGAAATATGTCAATGGCAAAGGGTTTCACTGTTGCCTCCCACACAGGGCCTTCACCATCTCTGCTGTCTGGAGAATTTGTTCCCATCAGGAATCTCCCACCTGGCAGTTGGACCATGCTAGTAGCCTGTCCATTTCCTGCAAAGAAAAAAGAGAGTTATCAGTAATACATGCATATATATAAAACAAGTGGTAATATTTGGATCGTATGCAATACTCATGATAGTATAATAAAACACAATAAAAAATGTGGAGGCTTAAAAATCTGGCTTTAAATTCCTTTTGGGCTGGGTACGGTGGCTTACGCCCTGTAATCCCAGCACTTTTGGAGGCCCAGGCAGGTGGATCACAAGGTCAGGAGATCAAGACCATCCTGGCTAACACGGTGAAACCCCTTCTCTACTAAAAATTAAAAAAAAAAAAAAAAAATTAGCCGGATGTGGTGGCAAGCGCCGGTAGTCCCAGCTACTCAGGCGGCGGAGGCAGGAAAATGGCGTGAAACTGGGAGGCGGAGCTTGCAGTGAGCCAAGGTCACACCACTGCACTCCAGCCTGGGCGACAGAGTGAGACTCCGTCTCAAAAAAAAAAAAAAAAAAAAATTCCTTTTGCGTTTTGTTTGGCTTCACATTCTTGTTCTGCCACTTGATTTGCTGGGAAACCTTAGGCAAATTACTTAATCTGAGATTCAATTTCTTTCTTTTTTTTCTTTTTGTGACAGGATTTCGCTCTGTCACCCAGACTGGAGTGCAGTGGTGCAATCTGGGTTCACTGCAACCTCTGCCCCCGCCGGATCAAGCAATCCTCCCGCCTCAGCCTCCTGAGTAGCTGGGACCACAAGTGTGCACTACCATACCTGGCTAATTTTTGTATTTTTTGTAGAGATTGGGTTTTGTTGTGTCACCCAGGCTGGTCTCAAACTCCTGAGCTCAAATGATCCTTCTACCTCAGCCTCCCAAAGTGCTGGGATTATAGGTGTGAGCCAACACGCCCAGCTGAGATTCAATTTCTTCATCTGAAAAATGGGGATATCTATGAACGACCATAGCTTGTTAATAAAAGAAAAAATAGTAAGTATGAAAAATAGGGATAATATCTCACTATCTCTTAGGTAGTAGCTGTGTCAATTAAAATAACATGGAACCAGGAACAATGGCTCAGAGACAGGGTGCAGAGGCTAAGGCAGGAGAATTGCTTGAGCCCAGAAGTTCAAGGTCATAGTGAGCTATCATTGTGTCACTGCACTCCAGCCTGGGTGACACAGTGAGAACCTGTCTCAAAAAATAAAAAATAAAAAGATAATAGTAACAATAAAATAGCATGGGTGAAATGTTGACCACATGGTAGATTTGCACGTACCTCTTTCTTCCTCTACACAAGCCCTTGTCCCAGCTAGGCGAATTTAGACACTCTACCCTAAAATGCACCTAGCACTTTCTTTCCATTCTTCTGCTCATGCTGTTTCTCTGCCTCTTCCTCTCCACTTACTGAACTCTTATCAGTTATTAGTGATTCTAACCATTATATGCGCCAGAAGAGAAGCATATAATACATACATGTTTGACAGTATATCCCTGGCTCCTGCTATAAGTGCACAATTATTGCCAAATAGTTGAATGAGCACCTTTAGACTTGTATGAATGCCTCAGAAAATCATGGAATTAAAAAGGACGGGCCAGGTGCAGTGGCTCACGCCTGGAATCCCATGCTGGGAGGCCCAGGCGGGCAGATTACCTGAGGTCAGGAGTTCGAGACCAGCCTGGCCAACATGGCGAAAACCCGTCTCTATCAAAAATACAAAAATTAGCCAGGCGTGGTGTCAGGTGCCTGTAATTCCAGCTCTCAGGAGGCTGAAGCAGGAGAATCGCTTGAACCCGGGAGGCGGAGGTTGCAGTGAGCTGAGATCACACCACTGCACTCCAGCCTAGGTGACAACAATGAGATTCCGTCTCAAACAAACAAACCAAAAATTAGCTAGGTGTGATGGTGTCCACCTATAATCCCAACTACTCCGGAGGCTGAGGCAGGAGAATAACTAGAACCTGGGGGCAGAGGTTGCAGTGAGCCAACATCGCGCCACTGCACTCCAGCCTGGGGGTAACAGCAAGACTCTGTCTCAAAATAAATAAATAATAAACAAAAAAGGGTCTTTGCTTCAACCTCCTTATTCCACAGGAGCAAACCAAGACCCGAAAAAGAAATATGACTTAAAGAGCTAGTTAGCAGGAAACAGGACTAGATTCATGTCTCTCTACGGTGCTGTTTCCAATAGGCCACATTTCTTCAGCTTGATGCACCACTTCACAGTGTCTTTCCAAGAAGTGTCTAAGCACTACAACTTCTTTCAAGGCAGAGTCCTCGTCATTTGATGTTCCTCAAGATCCTATCTTTGGCTCTCTTATTCTGACACATTCACACTGATTTCATCCATTTTCAGTTTTTCTTTTTTTTTTTGAGGCGGAGCCTTGCTCTGTCGCCCCGGTCGGAGCGCAGTGGCCCGATCTCGGATCACTGCAACCTCCGCCTCTCTGGTTCAAGCGATTCTCCTGCTTCAGCCTCCTGAGTAGCTGGGACTATAGGCCCCCGCCACCACGCCTGGCTAATTTTTTGTATTTTTAGTAGAGACAGGGTTTCTTTTTTTTTTGTTTTGTTTTGTTTTTTTTTTTTTGAGACGGAGTCTCGCTCTGTCGCCCAGGCTGGAGTACAGTGGCCGGATCTCAGCTCACTGCAAGCTCCGCCTCCCGGGTTTACGCCATTCTCCTGCCTCAGCCTCCCGAGTAGCTGGGACTAC